AGGCATATTATGTTAATGAAGTGCATCTACGTGTAATTAAGTACAATAAGTGGACTATAAACTAAATGTTAAAAACATATTTAAAGTTCTCTATCCAACCTAAAACATTGTCATCTGAGAGCAGTCGGGAGGCTCCCTGCGGGGGGGGATTAATCACTAAAGCCGTCAGAGCGGCAGCTGCTCTGCCGACCCTCCGGGACCCTCCGGGCCACCGCGGGACCTCCGCGCCACCTGCGCCGCCAACCGGGCTCCCTCGCCCGGCCACGACCCTCCGCACGAGGACCGGTCCGACGGCTCCTCTCACGGAGTTGACGTAACGCCACAAGCCCGCTCGCGCTCGCGCCCGCTCTCGCCCCGGGACCAGCCGCGCTGCCGCACGCCTCCCCCCCCCTCCGTCCCCCTCCGCCCCCCCCCCCCAAAAAACCTCCCGCGGACAAGTTCCCGTGCGTGAAAAGGTGTCGGTGTCCCCGGTCGGTGCCGGTGTGTCACTCACCACATGTAGCTAGTCCCGTCCACGGTCTCCTCTGCTGCATCGGGTGTCGTCGGTGAGGCCGGGAGCGGGAAGCGGCGGACGGTCAGGAGGAGGAAGAAGGAGAAGATGGAGGATAAAAGCAGCCGTTAGTCCGTTTGTTGGCTTGTGTGAGTGCGAATCGTCGTCCTCCCCCCCCGCCTCCCAACCCCCGCGGCAGCCTCGACCTCAACACTCATTGAGCTCCGCGCACAATGGCGAAGCGAAGCGGCGGAGCGGCAGGAGGAGGAGGAGGAGGAGGAGATATGTCACAGAGAACCGGCACGAGCTGCCATTCAAACTACTTCCTGGGATGAATTTCAAAATAAAATCAGTTTCCGGCAGTTTTTTTTAAAAGTTTTTTTTTTAATGCACAGCCGATATAAAATATTCTGACTAAATAGGACCAAACAAAACCTTCCTCCAGAGATGGTCTTCATCAGTGCGCTCCGTTGCCACGGAGATATGATAGGAGACATGTCAGCTCAGTAGGACAATCTCTTGTAATCTCCTCAAGGACACAACGGTATTTATCAATGTTAATTAAGAATATAAGAGATACAAGTTCTGATATGTCATCACATATTGGATAAGTATATTGCATTTGAAAGACTATATTAACTGTTAATAAACAACAATAGATCTGTAATGTATTGTTAAACTTAAGGTATGTTCCTGTAGCAATACAAATAAAAAATACTAAATAAAATATGAAAGAGTGACATGAGAAACATGAGTTAGTACAGCTTTAAGTTTTTAATTCAGCTATTTCTTTACATATTATGTTGCATGGTAAAAGCCAAACCTTGTACTATATAATACCTAAATACTGTATATAACTGTGTTGTGAGGCACTATAGAAAGCAAGTAGTTATTGCAAGGCATGTAGAGCTTTTACTCTGAAGGCCAACTAGAAGTGCGCAACATCGTCATCTCACCGCGTTGAGCTTGACGCAGCTCCTGCGGGGCCACACTGACGGAATAATGTACAGCGTGGGACCTTCTGGGGACACATGATACTTCCACGCAGGAGGGATTGATGAAGACTTTAAAAAATGATGTGACTCAACTGCTATGACGCTGTGACACTGGCCACCAGCAGGTATGGAGAGAACTCCTTCAATAGTAAAATACCTCTATTGAAAATGTTGAAAAGTATGAGAGAATAGTCAGAAAGATGTACTTTGAGTATGCGTATTAAGTACAGTGACATTTCTTTGGGATAGTTTAACTATTGTACATGCATCATTAGATTATTATAACTAGTCCAAGAACGAGAAACTCGATTTTTCGCTTCCAACCTTTTTCTTCAAAGTTGGTGACCCCTCATGAAAAGCTTTATCCTCCTCATCTCCGGATTACCGAGAATCAACCACCAAGAGAGACGGAGGCTCCAAGGTGGAGACAAAAGGAAGAGAACACCAATATCACCAAAACACCAGGAAAATAAACAGGGAATCGAGTTCAGCAGATTCTGCCGATGCTGCGAGTTTATTCCAACCTGAACAAACTTCTTCCACTATTCATTTTATTAGCTTCATGCTTTCTTCTCTCCAGCTACGAATCCAAAACACGACATGACTCGATACTGCTGCATGCGGTGTGCATTCATTTAGGACCACTTCAGCAAACATTGCACCTCGACCTTTGACCCCTTTGCTCAATTATCTCCTGCAAAGGATTGTGGGTTAAAATGTCCTGAGCGTCACTACGTTTGTCGGGCGGTTTTCCTGCTTCTGCGTGCGGAGTGAAAAACCACAACTATGCGAAGCATTCCAGTTATTTAGCGCTGGACGTCTCGGAGACGGCGAGTCCTTCTCCTGTCATCTGGGGACACTTTATTCCGTATTCATTTGACGGTTACAGCAGTAAACAATAGCAGCACATGATTTACATAACAAAAGTGTTTAGGGGCTGTCTATATTTTTTTTTTGAGTTTTTGAAAATCGGGTGTAGCTACAGTTTGTTATTTCTGCAAAGAAATGAAAATGTCTAATTTGAGTTATGGCGGTGGCCTCTGAGGACGGACGAGGATCACGTAAAGAGTCAACGGCACACACCGGAGTTCACGGAGGTCTTGTTGTGTCTGTGTGTGTCTGTGTGCGTGTGTGTCGACCTGAGCGACCCCGGAGAGCAGCGGCAACACTCGAGTTCACTCCGGTCGCTCGAGGTTCTTCCTGCAAGTGAGAGGACGTGTCGTCTTAGATGTTCATGTATTTCTTTAAATGACTAAAAAGGCCCAAACGTCACAAGAAAGAAAAATCATCTTTCACAGTATTTCCATTAGAAACGTGTCTCTGCTAAACACGACATGTGAGTGGCGCTGGGTTGTCGTTGGTTTGACGGATGATTTGTGTGTCTGTTTGTGTGTGTGTGTGTGTGTGTGTGTGTGTACGAGCTGTGTGACACTGCAGGTCTGATTTTCTTTATCAGCTGGTGAGAGACTAAACTTCACACATGGACTCATGGCCCCGTCCCCCCGTCCCCTCTTCCCTCCCCCAGCAGCAGTGGGGTGAAAGACTTTGGCCTCTGCAGCTGTCACAAACGACCCCCCCCCCCCCCCCATTCCTCCGCACCAACACGTCTCTCTCCTCATTGTGTGTTTTGTTGTGCGTCTGAAAGCGAACTTGGGGGTTGTGCCTCATGGGGGGGGGCGGGGGGCTCACGCTCCCTCTTTCTTTCTTTTTATTGCTTAATATAATCAGAGTGTGCTGGTTAATGAGGGAGGACGGAGAAGACACACACACACACACACGCTGTCCCCTCCTACATGTGTAGATATTGAACCTTCTTACTACGTTTGTCCGACAACGTAAATTACTTTGCAGATTCAGATTAATAATCTAATATATTATGGTGAAAAATCATACAATGGTTTATTGAACCACTAAATCCCTGAGATGAGCTCCTCCTTCACCAGCTGCAACATTAACGATATAAACACACAATCACAAGCCAGTGATGTGATTCTGAAATGGGTCAATTTGCATAATTGTTACATTTGTTAATTTGAAAGTAGCAACGTACGACGTTATATATTAGACAGCGGCAAACAACTAGCAGCTCCGTGAAGATGTAACAGATAGAAATGCCCACCTGAGCAGAGGATGGAGTTGGCGCTTAGCTCCTTACTTAGCGCTGTTAGCACCGTTAGCTATGAGGCGTCGCCATGTTGAGAGCCCACCAGAAGCAATCAAAAATAAATCTGGTATCGTGCAGACCGACGTCGTCTTTATGTAGATAATAGATACTTGATGCCGTATTAGTGTAGTGAATGTCGTAGGGAACCTTTTAGTACGTATTCATGTTTTTAGTAGTACTTTTGCACCTTGCTTTCACTTGTAACATTATACTCCAGTATTTCTACGCTGTCGTATCGCTACTTTTTCTGGATTCTTTTGTCGCTTCTGCTTTTCCCCGAGCTCTCAACCACATCACACACGGGCTTCTCTACACACGTGAAGGTCAACAGCTTCACAACTCATGTGACAACCACAACAAATGAAAAAGACCCTCAGGTGCTTCCTGCATTGATTTTTCCCTTTTTAATGCGGGAAGCAGACCGCGCCCTCTGCTGGCGCGACGCCGGAACTCCACCTCGCAGCGTGGGGTCGCTTAGTGTGCGTTGTTGTGTTCCACGTGCAACGTTGTTTTTCAGTCAGAGCAGTGAGTAAGATGAAGGTGCATCCAAGTCTTCTTCAATCAGACCCAATATGTCAATCATTCCTTCATACGTATTTAATACTTTTCTGATGAGCGTATTGATTTTCATACTGGATGATTGATTAATGAATTCATTGATATTAAAGAAATGACTTGAATAAGACTTGACATGGAGAACCAACATCGGCTACTTTGTAAACTAGACCGTTGTTCTAATTTAATTGACTTTTTTTAAAATTTCCTATAGGTTCGTTTCGCAATGATCAATAAAAAGCATCGAGACTAAAAGCAATACGTAGATCACCTGCGTACTACACCTTTAATTCGTTACGAGGATTTTGTTTGTCTGTCGGGACTTCAGGGTCAAACGTCTGGATTCATTTAAATAAATTCGGGATCACTTTCAACAGCAAAACATCCATTAAAAAACATGTCTTGTGCACTAAAATGATATAATCCAATATGGGAATTATGATATTGTCCTATTCCAATACAACAGAGATCACTGCTGCTTTTAGGCTTGATTATACTGACCGGGTTCTAATGTTGACAGCAGACTGTCCCTTATTTATGTAGCATACATTCAAAATGACTTCATCTGCCTGAAGGAGCAGACATAATATTCTACCGTTACAGAAGGTCATCTGAAGCTGATGTTATGTAATGTTACTACATTCCCATTAGAGGTGAACTAAAGCGGCAGCTTGAGAAATCCAGGTCAAAGATCATCCTTCCTGATAAATGAAAACGAAACGTCTGAAACGACAGCCGAACACACAGTGTGTAGAAGGCGTGCACACGACAATAAGAACAGCACAAGGACCAGCAGTTATCAAAGATCTCCTTCATTGTTTTTAATAGTAGACATCGTGCCACAAAAAATGTCATGTCCGCAGCCACAAATCACGTGCCGAGATTACTAGTTCCATCTACCTATCATGTCATTCGCTTGCTTCATCACAATTTGCAAATCACTTCTTACATTTATGTATAAATATATACAGTTTATAGATTATTCTCGAGCCGGGATGGTGGTTTCTCTCCCGCTTCTCCTGATGCGGTTGTGCTGTCGGTTGAGGGAACATTAGCATTTTTAGACAAAAAAAAAAAAAAAACACACGCGGCTGACGTCACGTCTCCCAATGTAGCACATGCTTATTGTATCGACCCAGCAGAGCACACGCGGAGCCGAATAAAGATATATATATATGTATATATATACATACACACAGGAATGTTGACCGCTATCATACAGTGTGGACCCTTTAGTAAGAAGTCACGGTTTGTGGGCATACGAGGGGAACACGGCGACAACACGGGAGCACCGAAGGCATAAGTGTCATGTAAATCTCCTGCCACAAAGGCACTGGCACATCGTTTGTTTATTTATGGGGGGGCAGGTGACGTAATCGGACGCCACACACATGCAAACTGAAGGGGGAGGGGGGTGGGGGGCGTATGCGATCTGCTCTGAACGTGCATGGTGCTGGTTCTAAGCATGTGCTTCATTTGAAGTTCTTACCGTCGGATGTCTGAGGAGAATCGGGGCCGAAGTCGCGCTCTTATCGACAGCGAAATAAAAGACCACCGTGTGATGGGGACCGGGGGGGCTCTTCTGTGATTTTTTTCTGTGTGGGTTTATTTTGATTTTTTCGTTAGTGAGAAAGTGACTAATTTAGCAAACTCAAAAAAGGAGGGGGGCAAAAACCAAGAACAAGAAGAAGAAGAACACCTGAATACGCGTTTCCTTTCACTGGTTAACTTCACACACTGTTAAAATCGTATACACTTAGTTGTTTTTTACCCCAGTATGTAAAGAAAAGAAAGAGACTGACCCGCCCGCTGTGTTCTGTGGGCATCGATGGGCTTACCGTCCTACTGACTGAAAGGGTGCGACGGGAATCGGATGTTTCTGCGCACATAAACCCGTCCTCTCAAAGTCGTGTCTCCCTCTCGCTCTCTCCCTCGCTCTCCTTCCTTCCTTCCTTCCTTCCTTCCGTCCCCCCCCTCCCCCCGTGGAGCATGGTAACATTGAGACTGGTCGTGGGCTGGGGGGGGGGGGCGTGGCGTTTTGTCGGCGTGGCTCTCAGCAGCAGCCCCCGGACGAGGTGTTGACCGGCTTGCTCTGGAAATTCACGTTGGACTTCTCCGAGGACCCGGCCGTGGCCCCGGGGCCCATCCTTTTCTTGATCTCGGCCGCCATGGTCATGAAGGCTTGCTCCACGTTGGTGGCGCTCTTGGCGCTCGTCTCCAGGAAGGGGATCCCCAGGTTGTCGGCGAATTTCTGGTGAGCGGAAAGGGGGGGGGGGGGGGTAAATAAATGGAATTCCATGACACTGAGGAACCGAAAGCTCCAGAACTGCTGCTAAACGGACCTGCTGGTGAGTAGTGCCAGTCAAGACTTTAAGATGAGAATAAACAAATAAACATGACTTGTATATTGTTCACGTATTTAACAGCACATGCAAGAATCATGAACAAAATAATAACAAATACAATTAAGTGGCTGACTGTAAAATGTAATTAACGTAAGCGGGTCTCAGCCACAGTCAACCAATAACATTACTTGCTTACTTATTAATTAACTACCGAATCGCTAAATTATAAGCCCGCCCACTTTGCTGCAGTTCATCAAAGGCCAAGGATTTTGTTTTAATCCCCCGTGTAACAGCATGCCGCTCACATTTTTCAGTCTTAGTGGGGAAAAAACTGTTCAAAGGTCAGAGACGCTAAATGGCGACAAATATTCTGACCAGAGAAAAAAAAAGTCTCACAGGCTTCTTAAGCCGTCACGGAGCGCGGACGCCGCTGTGTGAGATAAAGACGAAGATGAAAGCTCCAGCAGCAGATACAAAGTGGACCTTGAGAAAAGGAGACATGAGCTGAAGGGCTCCACGCCGTTTTGGGGCGTGTCGCCTCCCACCTCACAGCGCGCCCCGAAAAAACAAACAGGACGGGTGAGATCGGTACAAACGCACCGAAGCGACTCTGCATCTTGCTGAATGAATACGCATAGAAACATAAACGCATAACGTTGCCCCGGGCGACGACTCCTGTCGTCTGAGCAGCAGCTGGACGCTCACTCGCCTGCGCGCTGATGTTTCCCACTCGGCAGACTTTTGTCTCGTTGTCGCGCGGACAAACTGACCAAAAGTTGGGCTCACCTTCGCTGTGGTGTAATCCACGACCTTCTTCGTGGTGAGGTCACACTTGTTGCCTACGAGCAGCTTGTTGACGTTCTCGCTGGCGTAGCGGTCGATCTCTTGCAGCCACTGTTTGACGTTGTTGAAGGACTCCTGAGGAGCGGGAGGGAGGGAGGGAGGGAGGGAGGGGGGGGCGGTAGAGAGGCGTTAGTACGTCTGCTGAAAGGAACTCGAAAACAAACGGTTTGCAAAGAAAAGAGCAGCGGTCTGATGGGAGAAAATGCAGAGATTATACTTATTAACTATAAATCAACAAATACAATCAGAGTGCTGAAGCTGTATTTTGTTCCTTACGATCGCTTTCTGTACTGCATCTATAAAAAATGTATCCTTGCATGCCGTTAGATTCTTGTGGCTCACGATCAATGAACAGAGTGTAAATACACCTTAGAAAATATTCCTTGACCTTTAGGACTTTAAAAAAAAAAAAGAGAAACAGCATCAAAGCAAACCCACCTGATCCGTCACATCGTAAACCACTATGATGCCGTGAGCTCCTCTGTAGTAGCTGGACGTGATGGTGCGGAACCGCTCCTGACCGGCTGTGTCCCACTGAGGAAGCAAAGCACAGCTCGTCGGTCCAAACCCACACAAACATGATCCGGGGTTTATTTACTGCAGGTCTATTTGCAGCTCGATTACACAACGTTCTCCTTACAATCTGAAGTTTTATGGTCTTGCCGTCCAGCTCGATGGTCCTGATCTTGAAGTCCACACCGATGGTGCTTATGTAGCTCTCTGTGTACGTGTCATCCTAGGATAGAACACACACACACACACAGGTCTGGGATGTGATACCTGGAGGGTTAATCTGCCACCGCGGCGCTGATGGGGGAAGACGTAAAAGCCGGTTTGTGTAACAGAGGCAGACACTTACTGCAAACCGGAGAAGGAGACAAGACTTTCCGACACCAGAATCGCCGATCAGGAGCAGTTTGAATAAATAATCGCTGTGGAGGGTGAAAAGAACATTACAACATGACTTGAAATTACAATAAAAAAACCTGCAGGCTATAAAATCACAGTCTTTAAATGTTTTCACACGTGCTTTAACAGTTGATTAACGTTGGCATTGACGGTCTTGACAAGTTAAATGTACGTTGACAGTGTGTTAATAGTCAGCAATGTCAATTACAAAATGTCTTCATTAAGATAATTATAACCCTGTTACTAACAAATCATTAAAAAAACATTACTATTTATTCCAGCAACCTCGCCCTCCACACCACAGGATTATTGTCTTACCCTCTAAAAACAGCATGTTTTTACACATTTATACACACAAGCACAGATGGTATGTTTCTGCATATCTATGTAGTTCTTAATGTTTGTTTTAATTGCTGCTTTTTTTCTCTCCTTGGCTTTGATCCATGTATCAGAATCAGAAGCCATTCATGTCCACATAGAGGAATTTATGCGAGAAAAGAATATAATAAGATTGAAAAAAGGTGTAAGCGAAATGTATGTGTAAGTCTATATGTTTGAATATTGATAAAAGATAAAATCAACAATTTGTCATGTAGGTGTTTAACAAAGCAAACTCTTTGACATTTGAAGTAGTTGTAAAATGTCAGCTGCATATGTTTGTGTTTTGGACCGTTAGTTGGTCAAAACGAGCAGTTTGAGGTCATCACCTTGAACACCTTTCTCCTGCTGGTTAACAGAATAAACAACTGATTCATAAGTGAAACAAACGATGGATTTATTCCGGTTATCAGTATTTATAAGCTTTAGCTCTTTGGCAGCAGTGCAACTGAACAAAGTATTTCCATTTTAAGTTGATTAAAAGTTCTAATCGACGACATCTGACAAGTAAATATTGTATATTTCATGGTTGTATATTTACTCGGCAACTTCAGTTGCTCTGTAGATTTAGATTAGTATCAATATATAATGTACAAGTGTAATGGGCAACTATGTAAAACGAGTTCTTTTATTGTCGTTACTTTAAAGTATAATTACGCTACGTTAGCCTTATTTGAATACACGTCTTTAGCTTGTAACAGTACACAACTGATGGATTATTCCAAACAATCCACATGCACATTGGTCGGTCGCAGAGTAACCCGGGCTGAGATTACCCAACAACTCCACATCATCAGGGCTTCAGTAACTTCCTGTTTGCGCTGCATAACTGAACTGAAATGAGCTATAAACCTACACATCATCAGCTAAAGCACATCGATCGGCTTCGTGGTTACGGGCGAGAGTGTGAACTACCAAACTGTCACTACGCGTCCAAGTGTCAATAACAAAATCCTCAACAGTATCCGGTAACGCTACGTAGCTATTGCGTTAGCTGACCTGCTAGCTGCTAATGCTACTTCCATCCAAGTTGCCGCAACTGAGCCTACGGACGTCTTTGACTGCGTCCAAATAATTACCTGATTTAGTCGGTGTCGTATTGACCGGAAGCCGTTACGAGGCCCAGTTACGTGATAAGTATCGACGCTGTCATTTGATGGTGCGTACACGGTACCGACAGCCCGTAGCTCGCTAGCTTAGCACCGCAGACAAAGCAGCTGACGTTCATTTTGTACGGTGCGCTAATGTTAGCTTAGCTTCTCCCGGCTAAGCTGACAGTTCTACCGGACCTGTCACAACCCAAATTAAAAAAAAAAAAATGCGCACTTACTATTCGGGATTCATCGTTGACTACGAGTATAAGCTGTCGTTGCTGTGAATACAGTTGGACGTCGTCGCCGATTAACCGTGAAACTGGCCGCGTAGTGAAGAAAAGACACCGTTGTTTTTTTTCGTTAAGAACTGGCTAAACTGGTTGTCGCAGCCAGAACAGCATAATCGAATCAAATATGGCTGTCAGCAATACCTACCCGGAAATGCCAGAGCACAGGAATCATGGGTAGTGTAGTCTTTTGGCAATGGGCGTCAACCATCCATGTGTACAAGCGAATGTCCTACATAGGATAATGTGGTTCAAGGTAAAAGCAGGATTTATTTTTATATCAAATTATAACTAATGATTATTGTAATTATGTCAAACTATGCTGGTTATTTTTCTCCAGTTAATTTAGTTGTGAAAAATCATCAATCATCAAGAGCCCAAGTGACACCAACAGTCCTGACCTCCATATTATTGAGACGTCACAATTATTCACGTTACTGAAAGAGAAAGCAGAAAAGCTTCACATCTTAGATCTGGCTATCAATCCTGTTAATTTACAGCGTAACTGGTAACTCATGCCGGTATACAAAAGTACAGTGGAGAAAATATCAAGTATCAAAAACAAATTGGGTTTAAAATGTACACTGATCAGACTATTAAACGTACCGTATGCATTGATTTGCAACACACTATTGTTTCTGTGGAACTCATTTCATGACTTTTGTCACTGTTTTTCACAGAATGTGCAGTATTGAATGTGGATAACACACATAAGACATTATTGAACCTACAGTATATGCAATGTGAATATGAATTTGTTTATGCAAACCCAGGGCAGTATCATTTTATGATGGACCTTCACTATGTCTAGCAGCAATGACTAATAGTGGGTCGGATACGTTGGAGAAATAAGAATATCAAAAAGCATTGACTGATAAGAAATACAAGTTTATGCAAATATAAACTCGTAATTACAGACGAATATGCTCTCTTTTGGGTTGACCGTTTTCATGCACAATCAAATAATTAGTCTGTGGTGTGATGATCAGAGCGGTGGAATGTTTTCCAGCATCATTAGGACAAGGAGCAAAGCACAGAGTAGAGTTCCTCAGTGACGGAGCAGCCAGCAAAGCAACACATTAGAGCTGCAGCATCTGCGTCATAGAAATAAACTAGACCCTCCTCATAATCCACAAACTCCTCCTCCTCCTCCTTCCAAGGACTCCATTTCAGACGCAGATGGACAGTGGGGCTTTGTGTGGGGAGCATCTCTCACTCTCTGAAGACCATCCACGCGGCAAAGACTGCACAGAGGTCAACATCCATGCTGCGTCATTTGGAGGGACTGTGGGGGGAGCTGTGTATCAGCTGGAGGAGACACTTAGTGAAAGGTTTACACAGTGTATAAAACACATCCTAAACTCGGTTGTAGAGATTTTGTAAACAGTATCTGTATTTTTGGAAAGCATATTCTATATTGAATTAGAAATGTGAGAAATTGGCTTCTGAATGTGATTCATATTAGTGAGTTAGTTCTCAAACTATTTACATTTTCCCCGAAAAAGCAATTTGCACAAGGTCATTATTAAGTTATTCATAAAATGAATATTTTTCATTCGTTATATTTACATCTGTTTTTCCCTTATTCTTAAGAATTCATCAATACAGGCGTATTGACTGACTTATTAAAGTAATGTGACGCTTGACATCATGTTCACTGGAGCTCTTATTTTAAAGTCAGTAGCGGCTCTTACCATAATGCCTAATACATACGCGCACAGCAATAAAACTACCTGTTATCCTATAACCTCTGTCCAATAGCATCAGACATTTGGCCCTATTTTAAAAGAAACTTGTGCCATGGATTTGGCAACTTGTCTGCTTGCACATTCAGCATGAAACCCTCACGGTTTACAGCTTATTGTGCAAAATTGGGTTCCAACAGTTTGTTTGTGGAACAGTTTTACTATGTATAATATTTATTAGAAGTGCTTATGGCTTGCTATTAACCAGTCTTCCTATATAAGTACCATACAAATTCGATGTTTAATAGTTTTTACCAATGCAACACGGGTCACTGGTCACTAACATTTAAGTACTATCCCATTTCTTTTTTTCTACATGACGTGTTTAAAGAAATACTTTAATTTTAAATATTTAATGTAGCACACTGTAACTTTTAATTTGTCTGGAGTAGGTCTGTACGTTTTTACATTATGTTGTTAATAATTATTGCAGGCCTTTTACTTGTAATAGAGTGTTCTCAAGCTGGAGGTATTACCAAAGAATAAAGGCACCGAATGCCACTTCCCATTTATACCAGATGGCGCTTTTATTGTGAAGGAGTCACACCCTGGTGCGTGTTGCTTCCGGCTGCTGGTTAAATTGACAGAGTGCAGGCAGGGGGGTGGCTGCTTTTTGGGTTGATTCAGGGAACACAAAATGGACAGTCAAGGAAGAAAAGTCGTGGTTTGTGACAATGGAACCGGGGTAAGTCGTGTAGCAGTCGGTGCTGTCAAAGTCTCACTTCGTGACGCTCTCGGTTCTCCCGCAGTGCAGTTTGACGAGGAAACGGGGCGCGCTAGAAACAGGAAGTAACCGAGAGCTAACTAGCTAACGCGTTAGCTTGTCTGGGTGGGTTGTGCGAGGAATGTGTCCGTCAGCTGGATTCGGCTCATTCATCTACAGCCGGGCTACAGCTGCCGTGTATCTGCCCTGCTGCGATGTATTGTGTCCCAGTGTGTCATCAACATATTGCCAATAAAGTCTCTGACAAAGCTTCCGGGCGAATCGGGTTATTTAGCTAACGGTTAGTTTAGCTAGCTTTTTTTTAGTTAACGTTAGCTTTGGTCGGTAACTTCCGCCCCGCGACGCAGTAACGCTAGTCCGCTATAGACTGCGGTTAAAACACACGAATAAAATACACCCGCACTTGTACCGAGTAACGGTGTTTTAAGATTCAGAATCCTGGTTTAACCATTAGCTTCATATGATTTATTCTCGTGTAACCTGTGCTGGTAACGCTGGTTAACGTTACATGGTCGGGCAACGTTAGCAGCTAGCTTCCTCTCATTAACGTAGGTGTGATTTATAATTAAATAAGCAGAGGCCACCCGACACCAGCTGGAAATACTATTAAGATAGATTAAACAGATAAAAATGAAACTCCATGTTCCTTAACGTCATTTTATTTCGGTTAGCTAGTTTAGGCTAACTAACGTTTAGATAAGCTAACTTAAGTAACATTACCCAAAGCGTCCCGGGCCTCACACACGTAAAACATAGCATACAAACGCGTCTTTTAATGGTCCCGTTTGTATGTAGGAGCTTTTATGAATGAAACATGTAATCAACTTAATCGGCCTGCAAACGGGAAGTGAACCAGCGGGCGACGCGAGTCGTCGGTTGCGGAAGTTGAGGCAGTTCTTCCATGTAAGGGAACGTGTGAGATTGCAGCAGGTCTCACCGGTTTGAATGGACGTTTACGCAGCGGGGAGGAAGTCTTCACGTCCCTACTGCAGTAAACGTACCAATACCACGCGGTGGAAACGGTGCATTGCAAGCAAAAGTGATGCTTCCAAAACATTGCTCAAATAGAAAGAAGTATGTACGTATTCTCAAGTTAAATGTTCTTGGTGTCAAAAGCAAAAGTAGTCTTTGCGCAGTGAAACATTCCCCGTCAGCTGAAACAACTGAAAGCTGCATATTCTATTTTCGGAAGAACCTATATTGCTGCATTAATGCATTAGTTGTATATTACTGTTATTTATGTTTGAATGCATTTAAAATACCAATGATCAGAAAACACAGTTTATCCCAAGTATTCATCATTACTGCTGGGATGCATGATTTCACTTAATGATCTGTAAACCAAAAACATACATTTCTGAACTGTTGAGTACAATTCTAGAGGTACATAAAATCCAAATACTCAAGTTGAGTACAAGTTCCTTAAATTTGTAATTGACTATGTACAGAGCGGAGTAACTGTAATTACATTGCACCAATGCACTTGCACTGACTACTTCCTATCTGTCACCAGTATTAAGTTATTTACAAACATTGTGATTAGCGGTTACCAATTCATACTCTTAATATATCTGTCTTGAAACCTACAGGTTTTTACTTTTATTTTGAAAAACTATAACACGTTTCTCCTGTTTTTTTTAATCCCATCCTAGTTTGTCAAGTGCGGCTACGCGGGCTCCAACTTCCCCGAGCACATTTTCCCGGCGCTGGTTGGACGACCAATCATCCGCTCCACAGCTAAAGTTGGCAACATTGAAATCAAGGTAACCCTGAAATCCTCGAAAGTACGAGTACACCTTTGATGGATAGATAGATACGTCCAAATCTATCTATCTATCAATAAAGTATCAGGATGCATTAGTTACGCCTTGGATAACGTACGTGATCGTGTATGTTAGCGCAGGGATCTTTTTTTCCTTCTTATGAGGTTCTACAGTTTCAGACCTTAACCGAACATTGCAGCAGCTCATTTCAATGTTTTACTTCTCAGACAGCAGGTAAATAATTTGATCTATCAGGTGGTGATTTTAAAATATTTCCTCACAGTCCATTAGTATACTTGACGGTACTTAAAGCCTCGGCGGGTTTGTTTGTTTTGCCTGCGTGCTCCGATTAAGGTCTGCCAGAGCAAAAGATAAAGTGTTTGAACAGAGATTAAGCCGTGGTCGTCCTGCATGATGAATCGGCTGCCCCAAGCACGTCCAAAATGTGTGTCTGGCTCCTCTGAACTTTTGACCTCTCGCAGGACCTGATGGTGGGGGATGAGGCCAGCGAGCTGCGCTCCATGTTGGAGGTGAACTACCCCATGGAGAACGGTATCGTCAGGAACTGGGACGACATGAAGCACCTCTGGGACTACACCTTCGGCCCGGAGAAACTCAACGTCAACTCGCATGACTGCAAGATCCTTCTGACCGAGCCGCCCATGAACCCCACCAAGAACAGGGAGAAGATCATCGAGGTGCGCTGTGTGTAGTGAGACCAAAGAAAACCTCAGTTGACCAACGCTCCCGCAGTTTTGAGGACCAATCGATCGACTGATTGTTATCGAGAATCGGTTGTTGCATAACATGAAGTAGAAACAAAGACCTTTTTTGTTTCCTCCAGGTGATGTTTGAAACGTACCAGTTCTCAGGAGTTTACATCGCCATCCAGGCCGTCCTCACTCTCTACGCTCAAGGTTTGTTAGTCTCCGCAACACTTGGGTTAAACCCGCTAGCTGAATGCTAACAAGAGGGCGTAGCTGCCTCGTTTCACCGCCGGTAGCTCTGGAGAGTTGTTCTGTATTAAAGGTATGCACGAGTACCGTGGGATGCACGTGTTCCTCCCGTGTTTCTGACCATGTTTTGTTGTAGGTCTGCTTACCGGCGTGGTGGTCGACTCTGGCGACGGCGTCACTCACATCTGTCCGGTTTACGAGGGCTTCTCGCTGCCCCACCTGACGCGACGTCTCGACATCGCAGGGAGGGACATAACCCGCTACCTCATCAAGGTAAGCAGTGCATATAGTATGCACTATACGATGCAAAGTATGGGTACTACTGTAGTGTTTCCCAATAATGGATGGAAATTGTGATGACAGCAGATCGCTTACCATGCATTTAATTCGTTCTTGCATCAATTCCTTGGTAACAATAACATGCCGTCCTCCCACCAGCTGCTGCTGCTGCGCGGTTACGCCTTCAACCACTCTGCGGACTTTGAGACGGTGAGGATGATGAAGGAGAAGCTGTGCTACGTGGGCTACAACATCGAGCAGGAGCAGAAGCTGGCGCTGGAGACGACGGTGCTGGTGGAGTCGTACACGGTGAGTCACGGTCACGGTCTGCGCATCACAACGCCGTTGCACGTCTGACTGGTGGGGGGGGTTCTGTGGTGTGTCCTCAGCTGCCAGACGGCAGGTTGATCAAGGTGGGAGGGGAGAGGTTCGAGGCCCCAGAGGCTTTGTTCCAGCCCCACCTCATCAACGTGGAGGGGGTGGGTGTGGCCGAGCTGCTGTTCAACACCATCCAGGCCGCAGATATCGACACCAGGTGAGCTGGCAGGGGGATGAATCGAGAGGGGACTTCATTTGACCTCAAAGTCGTGTGCCAGAGAAGAAGAATGAGAAGGAAAATGGCTTCAACACATGGAAATATATTCAGTGTATGAAAATTCATCGTGTCACTAGCGCAGGATAGATTAGCAATAAGAAATAGAACTAATAGTTAAACTGAAATGGAATAGATCATTTCATTTTTAGGTTTTAAAAGTTGTCAAAGGCAAAAAAAACAGAATAAAATGCATACCAATATCAACCAGCTAGATTTATACAGATAAACAAACATAACCTTACCGGCAGACTTCTCAACCAGGTGGCACAAGTAGCGCAAACTTTTTAAATCATTCAGGAATGACTCTCTTTAGAATCTCAGTCCGGTGTTTGGCGGTTTCCTCTTGTGGCCGACGAGCGCGTTTACTCAGCAGTCCGGCTCACGCGTCGTTGTGTTCCTCCGGTCAGGTCCGAGTTCTACAAGCACATCGTCCTGTCCGGAGGCTCCACCATGTACCCCGGCCTGCCGTCCCGCCTGGAGCGCGAGCTGAAGCAGCTGTACCTGGAGCGGGTGCTGAAGGGAGACGTCGACAAGCTGTCGGTGAGTGTGTGCGTCCGAGAACCCGGCGGACGTCTGAAGATTCAGTGCAGCTTGACGCTCCGCTGAGGAGCTTTTTATCCTGCATTTGCTGCTAATTCCTCATGAAAGTAGCGTATGTACAGTTGATTAATATGCAGTGGTCGTACTGTTATTTCAAATGTTCTGCTCATTTTAGATGTAAAATCTCCACCGGCTTTATCCGTTACAGAAATGCAGTAAATGTATAAATATACAGATTTCCTGCCCAGAGCTTTGTCGTGCAGTACTCCCATTGGCCTCTAGAGGAAGCTGAAGCCTCAGTCTACTCAGCCTTCGTCACACGGCGTCGCTGTCTCATGATGACGAGAGGAAGCGCGCTCCTGCAGCCGCCGCCTCCTCCTGTCATTACGAGATGACTGCTCTCTTTTAGGAGATCCCAACACTGTTTTAAATTCGTCGCTCTCCTCTCTGCCTCATCCTCCCCTGCAGAAATTCAAGATCAGGATCGAGGACCCCCCCCGGCGTAAACACATGGTGTTCCTGGGCGGCGCCGTGCTGGCCGACATCATGAAGGACAAGGACAACTTCTGGATGACGCGGGAGGAGTACCAGGAGAAAGGCACCCGGGTGCTGGAGAAGCTGGGAGTCACCGTCAGATAAAACGCAAACAAACAAACTTTCCTCGCCCCCCCCCCCCCCCCCCCCCCTCTCTCTCGTCTGATATCCATGCACCGCTTGCCTCGACGTGTCCGGGTGGTCGCGCTGTGTCGTCGATTCACGCTCAATTTGAAAAGCCTCACGGGTGAGAAAGGCGCGACGCGGGGGTTCCGGGGTGAGAGGCTTCACGGGGAGGGAGTGACCCGGGCGTCTTCAATATTTGTCCCACGGCCCAAAAATGACTAATCAGTACAATAACGTTTGCAGGTGCACGAGTCGGTGCCGTCAATTACTCCATTTAACGGAAAAGTGCGACAATTTTGGAAAAGCTTTTTTTTCCTTTGTTGGCGAGAGTTTGAAAACAAGAATGAAACCAGTCTCGTATCTGTGCCTCAGAATGTTAGCTTAGCTTAGCATAAAGACGAATGAGGCTGTGTGGGGTTTTTTTTGGGTTTTTTAAGGATTTCTTGTCTTTTTAATCCGTAAGCCGCCACAAAGTAGACGAGAGAAAAGAGGCGGCGTGCTCGTGTCAAAAGACTTTGCACGACTTAAGTCGCTAATGGTACGTTGTTTGTGTAGTCGGATACGAGGTGAGCTTTAGTTGCCTTCACACAGACTTTCCATTTGTTATGCTAAGCTAACCGCTGAGTCTACAGACATGAGAGTGGTATTAATCTTATTCTCTTGCCAAGGACGAAAATACGTTTTTTTTTCCAAAATGTGTTCCTTTTTTTTAAAATATGAAATCCCCATCAATGACTTTATACATACAGGCTGGTCAACGTCCAAGTTGTTATTTAGTTTTAAGGAGCAGCACGGAGAAGTCGAAGATTACAACAATAATTATTAGCGACGCCGTTTGAGTTCCTTTTTCAAAAAACAAACAAAAAACTCCCGCTACACAAAAAAGAATAATAATAATAATAACAACGTGCCACCTGATCTGTCAAAACGGATGCGGGCATTAAAGAAGATGCGGAGTGGAGCGTCAGAGAGATTAGATGGATCATCACATACTGTGTCTTTTTTAACAATCACCAAACACCATCCTGCCCTGCTGGAGGAGCACGAGGGCAGATGCTTTTTTTCTTCTTTTTTTAACTTGGCAGCTCGTTTGTCTTTGTGGGGACATCCGCTTGCTTGTTGAGCGCAGAAGTTTATATCTCCCACAAAATTTCAAACTGAAGACAAGGGGAAACCTCTTAAGGAAACTGCGAAGGTTCTTCGTCTTTTTTTTTTTTTTTTTCTTCTGGTTTGATAAGTGGTGGCGAATCGGCGTCATGCATTTCAGTCATTGAGTTACAATAAAAGCACCAACTCCCTGGATGGTGGACAATCTTTGTAGTGACCTTTAAGGTCGAGGAGGAAGTAAAGATGACTTCCCTGACAGAGAAAGGCTCTTCCAATCGTTGCTGTGATTTAGGTTTCTGCCACCGGGGGCAGAACTCACTCCGCCCAAACTGCGGTTTGAACCTAAAATGACACGTTTAATCAAAGCAAACGTACATATTTGTCCAACGTTCCCTTAAAGCAGCCGCTCCGGGTTTTCCTTCTTTCTTTGTCTTGTGAATTAGTGAACTGAATATCAGATGATGTCACCTCGTGCTCAAGGAAGCGGACCGAGCGGCTGATTAGCGAGGTGATTATCAGCAATATTTCCGTACAATTAAAACAAAGTTGGTTTACGTTGCGAGGGGAGAGATGTTTTGTGAAATGCGCCCCCGTGTGGTAAGAAATAAGAATTTAGCTGCAGCTTTGATTTTTGCATGAATTTCTCTTGACGTTAATGGAAGAGGCCTTTTCCTGTTGGATCACGTTCGCGTGTTCCGTCGCACTTGGTTCTTCCCTCCTGTCCGGGTCCTTCACCACGGAGCAGGTTCTGAGGTTAACGAGTGTAAAAGCTCCGCCCGCGGACCAATCAGAGCTCAGGACGTAGGTCGTAACATAATACAGCATACAAATAAGTTAAGGGGCGATATTCAGACTAAACGTGAAAGAGCTTAGACGGACACACTGAGAAAAGACAACGGACGACCGCGTGAACGAACGGATTCCTGAATGTCCTTCTGAGCAGATGGATGTGACTACGACTACGAGTGTGTGTGTGTGTGTGTTCATGTGTTGCAGATGTATTCTGACATTATTTCATCTATAGTCCTGGCGGTGTGAAACGGACCCGGGCGCCAACAAAAAACAATTCATTCATTTTTTATTTGCTCCCGGGGTCCGTTTGACACCAGCAGGTTTGTGGCTGAAAGAATCAGAACACACATTTAACACATGACGCACACACACGCACACGCGTGGTCGTAGTCAGAGCCGGCGTGCTGCAGATGAAGCAGTGATGTAATGAATCCGTTCGTTTACACGTGAGTTTGGTCTTTTTTTTTTAAACCGTTTCTTTCAGCCTGAATCTCGCGTTTAACTTGACTCTTCTCTGTTTGGACAAACGGCGGCTCTTTTGTGAACCGATGGCCGACTTACCGAGCGGATCGCGTGACCCGAAGACACTCTGAGCTCGCTCCGCGGTCGCCAAGGAGAGAAACCGGCCCGTGATGCGAATAACGTGGCGGCCCTGGGTCATAAATAGTCCTTTCTTTTGTGCCAATAAGGCCGCGTGCTTTAACCTCTACGACGCTCAAATAGCTTCTTTTCCTCTTTTTAAAGGTGCGTTTGTGAGGGAGAGACATGAAACGTGTCGTCTTTTAAGAAGTAAATGTCCAATAGAGATAATTCCATGTGTTGTTCTTGGAGGAGGGAAGGAGGTGTGGAGCGATCTCATTGGCTGAGAGAAATGTGAGCGCTTAACGGAGCTGATGAGAACGAAGCGTATTGATATTAATAGAACAATGCAGACACGCGCGAGCGTCACGGATCAAACATTTTCATTCGGCTGCTTATACTTTATGACCTTTTTTTTTTGAGCATTGTTTTCCCAAAACAAGTGAACAAATAATATAAGTACAACAGTTCTATAAAGAGTACTGGTTTGTACCCATAATCTTTTGGTTCACGCTTCCTCTCTTCAACCAATGACATCGCTCTGGGATGTTTGTCTAAAACATTTAATCTGCTAGAACATTTAGAAAAACTTGAATTCCTCGTCCTGAATCAGACGTTATTTCCTTATTCGTGGATTCACCCCCCCCCCCTCTCCTCCTCGGCTGTACTGAAGATGACTTTTGGGGGTTTCAGGAGAAGGTGATTTGTGTCACTGAAATATTTGTAATGTTAATAAGAATCTGGTGTCAGGAAACGGAGACCACGTAAAAAGCTGGTATTTGTGGTTTTTCCGTCTCAGTTCTTCTGTGTATATTGGAGGCACTTGGCTCACATATATAAATATAAATGTATAATTTCCTCTCTACAAACACCGCGGTCATCAAGTGCCGAGTTCAGTTACTCTTGCTGGATTTTTTTTTTCTTTTGCTCGTCCTCTTTATGTTTAGTTTGTAGCTTAACTGCCAACCGCTGATTTAAATAAAGGAAATGATTTATAGACGCCTGCTGTGTCCTCGTGTCTTCGTGTCCCCTTACGTCCGGTCTGCCGGAGGACGAACCCCGGCGCTCTGAAGGGTCACTGCTACACGACCCGGCAGGCCGGCCTTTGACGCGGGCCGGGTCCCCCCGGGCGCCGGCTGAGGAATTCCTCGCGCTGGTCTCCACGGTGACGGACACCAAATAGCAAACGCTCTTTGTTTCATTAAAGAAGTGGCGCCATCTAGTGGTGAGCTTCCAGGTTGCAACTGGCTGAATACCGCTCGGCTCACTAGGGGGCCTCAGGCTACCTGAACCCCCCCGTAGGCGCAAAGAGCTCGTTCTAAGCCAACGAACACAAAGGATTCTCCCTAAAGGCTACACACTGCTCCTTTCAGTAAAATATAGGTGCTTGAAAACACCTCATCACTGTGAAGGAAAGCTGGAAAATGAACCCTGCAAAGTGTGTGCGCCTGCACGTTGGGGGGGCGGAGCCTCCCCGGCAGAGTGGGAGGCATCCGGCGGGTCGGGGGGCTCGTCTGGGTCTGATTTACTGAGGCCCCAGTGAGTCTGCTGCCTCGCTTTGTTTACGCAGATGAAATGTGAAACAAATGTGACTGAGATCACCAACGCGCCACCACTCCCATCCTGCTCACTGTGTGTGTGTGTGTGTGTGTGTGTTTACCTGATCGGACCCGACTGTCCATCTCTCTGACACTTTGAGATATCTCGACATCTTCTGGACAAAGTGTCACTCGGTTGTTAAAATACTGATTCCAGACGTTTTGTTAAATAACCTGAAGCGCTTCGGTTGCCTTTTACCTCAAATATAAAATCATTTAATACAATTGATGTATGTTTTTTCCCACGAAAGAGTTGATATCATTTCAAATTTCATTCACATCGCATGATCTTCATCAGCAAGTCTTCTATGACTCTCTTATAGAAGAAATACATTACCCACAATGCAACGTGACTGGTGAGCGTTCAGTCGGCAGGGATGGAACCATCTTTAACTCCAGTGATGTAACACCAGAGTGTTTGTGACTCGCGGCAAACAGATATTTAGTTGATAAAACAACTAAATTGATAAAGCTAGTTGATAAAGCTTTGTCTTCAAAGCTGTCGTCCCCGCCCAAGAAACACACACATCCAGGACCTCTGTTTGGCCAAAGGCATTGTGGGAAATGGCCTCTCCCTCGGCTCGCTCTATTTGGCGTCGGCATACCGACGTGATAGCTGTGTCTCACTGTGACTAGGCCGCAGCCTTGTGGCCTCCAGCCTTGGCGGTAGACGTGGGCTGGTCCTCCAGCAACCTGAACTGAGCGGCCTCTGAAATGGGACGGTCTGTCCTACAGGGGGACGTCCTGCTTTTCGCCATCAGCTTTACCTCCACTGCTCCCGCTGCCTAGCAACCTGCCGCGCTTGACAGTAAAAGCCTTAGATGCCTAAAAACGTATCAAGTACAGATAAGGAAGATAATCTTATTTCATTTAAGTTATAGGAAGATACGCGTCTCCTCCGGAGCACGATGTATTTATTTCAGACCACTCCTCAGTCTGTTCTTGACAAACTAGGGAGTAGAAAAGGTCCTCTCACAGGCCACTTGACTGAAAGAGAGCGTAAGCAAGAACCAGTCCAATGACGTGATAGGCATCAGTGAGGGGGTTGTATTTGGAGAGGATATGATAAACACAAATTGCACAGTCTTTACAGGAGGTGCAGCTGGTGTTAGTCAGTTCCATGTTGTTGTGTTCAAAAATGAAGAAACGCCGGACGGACAGAGGTCATCGCAGATCAAAAGATTAAATCAAATGTGTTTAATAAAAGAGATGGTGTTGTGGTGAAAAGAACATCTCTGCTGAGGAGCCGCTGGTCTCAGCAGCCAACAGGCCCAGGTCAGTCCTTTGACCCCCCATAGTGACTGTCTGGTGTCTCCACCATCGAACCGAGAACAATATTCCTACAGGTATTTATACCAATGCTCAAAGGTGTGAAAGTTAGTGTCCACACCTCTGGGAGTGGTCTTCTGGTGAGTTCATTGTAACTCGGATTTCGAATGTCAATATCAGTTGTTGTTCAAGTATTACATGTATGCATTCCAGTTGATTACATTACATTAAATACAATCATAACTGCATTGGTATTATTCTAGTACAGTTGCAGAATTACAGTGGTTTTACACTATTGTCATTACTTTATTGATTACACAGTTTCAGAATCATGGCTGTATTCTGGTGTACACTATATGCATTTTTATTAATTTTATGAACCGGGTCGTATATTTGTTTCTAATATCCTACAATGTCTTCTCCATCTTCTTTCTCTTCTTTCCTTCTTTTCGCCATTTTTACCGCCTGTCTCTGTTGCATTCTCACAAACCCAAACCTAACCAAGTAAACTCCTTTGAGCCAATCGGATGTCAGGAAATACGAGGATCAGTCCAAGTTGGGAGGGGCCGCTCGTATCCCCCCCCCTCAAGATTGGAAGTATTGGTTTGGCCCGGTCTGAAACACACACAGACACACAGCTGCGTTCCGCGGCAGCTAAGCGGCCGGTCTACAGGCCGGTACGGTAGCGTTACGTATCATATAAAAATAACAAAAAAAAAAAAAAAACTTTTGACCAGCGGCCGTCAAAGTTCTTTGATGGCTGCAATGCACGTTGGAATGGAGCGGTTGTCGAGAGTTAGCAGCCGTGGGACAGAGTACTTGGGCTTCATGCCGGTCGCCGAAGGTGTTAGCCCGGAGCTAGCCGTTAGCCCGGAGCTAGCCGTTAGCCCGGAGCTAGCCGTTAGCCAAACACGGAGACGGGAAGACTCGTCCGGCACAGGGGAGAAGACGGTCCGTATTGTGGCAGTGGGCGAGGCACGGAGGACGGGCGGGAGGCAGCCGACAGCCAGCTACCAACGGCAGAGGTATCGGCTCGAGGCAAAAACCGGACCGGGACGGCTCGATGGCTGCCCCGGGAGAAAAGTTAAAAACCTTTTGTTGCAGCGCTGGGACGATGGAGAAATCCGGGTGTTCGCCGCTGACAGCGGGAGGCGGCCAACAATCCGCTGATGTTGGAGGAGATGTCGGGAGGTGAGTAAAACCTTCCATTCCGTAAAAACCGAGAAATACGGCGGAGAAGCGGCGAACAGCAAATGCCAGCGTGACATCTCTCTCTGACGTCATTAATTCCGCTCAATGTAATTCAAATCTCTACTTAGTCTTTTTTTATTATCTATATTACTATTATTTAATTTGTAGATATTAATTAACGCCAATCCCAGTTTTTACAGTGTACCGTAGTGGTTTTCTTCAGATAACAGAGCATTGTTGATGAGACGGGTGAGGAAAGGAAGCTTTAGAACTACAGATATAAAGAATATAAATGTGTATAAATGTGTCTGTGGGTCTACTGCACAAAATTGTGTTGCTTAACACACTGTATTTGAATCTATATAAATGAATTTACATCCTTTTAGGTCTTGTAATGGGAAAATGATATGTGACCCTTTTAAATGCTTCGTTTGTATAACCAGTTTATTAGTTGCATGTGCTTCGATCACAAAGGCCCTGACATAAGAACTGATGTCTCCCTCTTGGATTAGATGTTTCCAGCGTAGCTGTAGAGATTGAACAAAGTGTTCGTTATGTCTATGACCACCTTTGTTTTAGCAAGGACACGGTCAAAGAGCTGACGTGTCTTACATGGACAACATGTTCCCAGTACCCTGGCTGTAGAGACTCAACAAGATGGTCAAAGGTTTCTGTTGACGCCACCGATATCTAAGTTTAGGTATAAGAACTGCCTCGATGTGTTGGGGAAAAAGGAGGTTCTTGACAGTCTACTGACCACGTAGCTGTTGTGACCCTTTTTCCCTTGCAAGGAAATAAACGGAGAAAAGACATACTTGACTCAGAGCCTTTGTTTCTTACTTAACGATTGTCTGTGCAAAATCTTCCACCACAGTCTTCACTAGGGCAATAAAACCTATTAACCAAGTAGTGCATTCATTTGTGCACTAGAGCCTCACTCACATGTCCTAACTTCTTCGGAGGAGGAGCAGATGAAGAGGGGAACAATGAAGGCAGCACGCGTAGGATACTGAGAGCCTGCTCAACTGTTGAGGATGATATGTGTTACTTTTACACTTCGATAATACAAGGTCAAATCTGACCTACAGTTTACAACATCTGCTAAAATACAAAAGAAGTTACACAAATCACGGGATAAACCTGCCTAATGTCCACCCTAAAAACATCATTGCTTACCTTTGTCCATTCCTACTGGGGGTTTCAGCAGCTTTTTCCAGAAGTCGTCCCATCTTCCCTTCAGCTCATCAATGTAATGGATGTTATTTCTGTCCAGATCGCGCTGAAGCTCCTCCATCACCTGTCCAACATACAAATAAAGACATTTGACAGCATTGGGTAGGAGGTGGAAATTTGCATACAAGACATTGTTTTGTGTGGTGCCATGTTTTGAATTATGCTCAGTCAATAATGACTTACATGTCCAATGTCCTCTGGAATTTTCTTGTGTCTGTCCTCCTCGCAAAAAGAATCAAATTCCAAATCCAGGAGCTGAGAGACGGACTCACAGTTTGAGTTTTCTTCTTACACAAAGATCGTAGGGTTCTGTAGTGCTCGGCCATAGTTGCTGGACTGTCAGTGTCTGGAGCGTCAATGCCTGCGGGCATCTTAGCTGAAGGACAGAAATATACATAATTAAACACATGGCATTAATTCATAGAAATTAGTAACTCTAGAAAGAATATGGTAGCAATTAGTTTGAGTCTTCCAGTTTATTAGTCCTCCAAACAAAATAAGTGTAAAATATGAACACCACACAATGGTAAATTTGTAAATGTTGGAACTCACGTCTGGCATTGCTGCCTGAGTCCGGGGTGCTAGTCCCGTCAGAGGGGCAGTCTTAAATGCTTGAATGCTGCCCCCCTTTTGAGGGGAGATCCAGAATGACTGTTGAGTCACTTGGCCGCGGACAAACTCCAGGTGGGGCGGATCGTTTTGGTTTAATCCACCTAAATGATGTCACGTCTCACGGCTACATATTCATGTAAGTGTTACAGTTGGTCGCAGTCAGCTGAGTGACAGTTGTGCGTCTGTGCGCGTGGGACCGGCAGGAGTACGACGAGCTGCTGCAGACCTGCAAGGAGAAGCTGCATGACTTGGGGCGTCCCTCTGTACGACTTTCCCTTCAGGCCTTCGGAGCAGACCCTGGGGGGACGCGACTCCCTGGGGGGACGCGACTCCCTGGGACCTGCCTCAAAAGAGCGAACCCGTCCGGGTGGCGTCCACTCGCCTCCAAGCTCCACCTGACCTCTCCATCACTTGATCACATGACGTAATGAATGATAAACCTTTAGGTGTTAATATGTATTTTTACTTATTTTATTTGTTTACTCGCCCTGTTTCATGTAATGTGTCAGTCTGATCGCAGGAATTCAAAAATTATCGATAAAGGAACCCAAAAACATATTATTTTTATAAATCCAAGGTTTTGTATATAAATATTAAATCTCTGAAGTTGTGACACACTTGTTTTATTTATTTTAGTTTAGTTTTTTTTTATAGAGATTATTAGATGAATGTGAGTCACACACACACATTTCATTAGTTTGCAGATGATGTATTTGTATTCATACACGTCTCATTATCTCTTTTTTTCTTAGAGATTTTACATCCATGATTTTAGAAACATAAAAAAATACAACTGAAAATGTACATCATACATGTGATACATATACACGTTCTGTTTTTTTACATAGTTAAAAATATGACTTATATAAAAAGGACAAACCAACGACTACGACCATTTCTCTTTTTCGTTTTCACACAGTTATTATTTTGTGAAATACACATCAGGAGATAAATGAAGCGACTTCAGGCACTTTCCTTAAACAGCTGAACACACGACTGCGTCTGAAGACAGGGACAGACAGACAGACGGACGGGGACAGACTTCATGTTGGACGCCTTCAGGCTTCGGCCTCGAGTCTCTGGACGTTTGATATAAATTCTTTCTGATTCACGCATTTTGTGGCATTTTGTCACTGACTTGAACCCTGGTGGACGGATAGCACTGGTCCCACTGTAACGCTTTCACAGCACACCAGTTCAACGAGAAACGCTCACAATTATTACAAAAAAAATCCACTGCTTTGTGTTTTTATATGAAAATCTGTTGATCTTCGTGTGCTTCAGAAGCCACAAGTTTAAGCCGATGGCGACGACGAGTTCGGCATCATGACGCGTTCGACCTACGAGAACATTTTGTATTTCCGTTGAGCTCCGCCTCCTCCTGAATATTCATTACTGCCTTTTAAAACTTTTAACTTTTAAGAAAAAAATACTAAAAAGATATTTGTTTGATATGAGTATCAGTTGCTTTATTTGGGACCGTAGGACTTTAGTTGCTTAAATTATTCATGTTCATTGAAAGAAACTTTAGAATGAGGAAAAAGGTTTAGAATGATTATTTTTGTCGGACTTTTGGTGGAAATGGAACCTTATTTGTAGAGAAAACCAATTTGAATTAGTAAATAAATGAAGACTCAAATAATCCGACTGATTGTTCTCACACACACACACACACACACGCAGTGTCTAAATCAGTGTCCTGTTCTATTCTTCTCATCGTAAAACAAACCAGTGAAGACGGACCAGTATGACCAGCACACATCAGGCCTTGATTCAATAAGGTCAAACGGAGCAGATTTTTTTGTTGTTGTAGATTATTAATCTGCAAAATAAAATCTCACACATGATGTCAGAGGGAGAATGTGATTGAACTAGAAGAAGGAAAAAAAAGAAAGTTAAAATGTTCTTAAATTGTCGAGCGAACCCTTTAAGGGGAAACGATGTTCCCCGTATTGCAGTGACCGTGTGGCGGGTTGAGTGGCAGGAAAAGGCCTCTATGGAGCCGCTGCTTGGTTTGTCCCTTCTGGGCTGCTGTAGAAACGACGGCGGGCCGAAGAGGACTCGCTGGTACAAAGCGCTCTTTCTGAACGGCTCCATTATTAATGTTATATTGAATCCTACGGGACCTTTAGAGGCGTCAGAACAATGAGTGTAAAAATATAATGTACCCATATACCTATATATATTCATATATATATATATATATATTCATATATATATATATATATATATTCATGTATTCACATATATATATATACATACATTTATATCTATATTGTTTTATTTACTAAATAAAGAATCTTTGTTCAGTCTTCTCGCTTCTTCTCCTCCTGATGACCGGAGACCGACCACACAGCGGCGTCCCTCGTCCCCACCGGTCCTCGCCGCCTCTGCGAACCGCGGAAGCGGGGGGGGGGGGCGGGGCTTCCTCCTCAGCCAGCCGCTTTGTGCTTCCCGCCGCAGCAGCGGCAGGCCACGCCGCAGCGGTAGCACGCCCTGAGGGGGGCGTAGCAGCACATGCAGGGCGCCAGCAGCGACAGGCCCACCAGCGCCGACCAGCGCAGGCAGAAGCGCTCGTCGCCGGCGTCGCAGGAGCACGGGTCCGAGTAGTCGCCCTCCGTGTCCGACATGCAGTGGTACAGCAGGCTGTCGGCGCACCACATGAAGCTGACCCTCCGGATGCAGGTCTGCACGGGGTCCGGCGCCTCCTGGCAGCGGCCCCGCCCGTTGTCCTCGTGGTTGAACATGTCCTGGCAGTAGACGCAGCGCGAGCGCTCGCCGTCCTCCTTCCGCCTCTTGCCTTTGAGCGGCGCGGCTCGCGGCTGCGCCGTCACCGCCGCCCGGCGGCCACCGCCGCCGCCGCCGCTGTACTCCGGCAGGCCGGGTTTGCCGGCCCGCTGCACGCTGCAGCTCAGCGGGTACGGGTAGGCGCAGTCGTGTTTGGGCGTGGGCCCCTTGCGAAAGTGAGGTAGGCGTCCAAGCCGGCAGGCCGGGTGGGCCCTTTTTGCCGAGAGGGGCTGGCGTTGGCGTTGGCGTGCCGGTAGTCCTCGTAGCCCGTGAGCCAGGTCCGCTCGCGCGGGTTGATCCGCGCGATCTCCTCGTCCTCCACCTGGAAGCTGACGTGGCGAGGGAACATGTGCACCGCCTGCGGAGACACAGAGGGGACAGAAACTGAGACTCTGTCCTCGCGGGGGGGGTCAGGAGGAAGGAGGGACCGCAGCTGCGAGGCCTCGCGGGTCGTGACCTCTTTGGGCCGGATGCGTTCCGTGGAAAACATCCCCACTCACCTGGTCCAAGAAGTAGCGCTCCGAGGGCCGGTGGTGCTCGTAAAAATGTCCCAGGATGCAGTGGTGCCGGCGGGCCTCGCAGAGGGCGTGCGGGGCCCCCAGCGCGCGCGGCGCCGGCTCTCTCTTCTGGGACGAGTTGGACGAGCTGTCGGTGGCCGTCTGGGGGACAGAGAGGAGACGGCTTCAACACACACAAAAAACCCCATCGGCTTCCATCCGTGGCAGGTTGGGCCTCCCGTTGCTAAGCAACGACGGCGACGGTGACGACGGCGTCGCTTAGCGATGAGAGGAAAAGCTACACAAAGATACAACTTGTGTTAATTGCCTTTGCAAACTGGAGCTGAAGACACTCGACGGAGCGAGCGGACTGAACTAATCCTCCTGAAGCTGCATCATCCGCTTAAAAACCTCAGGGTGACAATATCGCAACGCGGAGCCTCTTTTAAGGCCTCGCCGAAAATCAGAAAAGTCCTTGATTCCTTCACCTCGGATCAGATGGTTTGGCCTTTTAAAGGACACACCGACAGGCCCGGCTTTCGCCCTCTCGCGTCGCATCGCGTGCTGCAGAAAACGAAGGGTTCCGTTTGAAGCCGATTTCGTAATTTACTCTCCTCGTGTCCAGACGTCGTGACGCGGCCGCGCTTCAGTGCCACAAAACCTCCACAGTTCCAGAGTGACGTGCGTTCATCCTCCAACAAACCGCGTCCCCGGCCGTTGCTCAGGGGGCCTCCAGGGGAAGCGCCACGCCGGGGAGCGCTCCATCTACTCGTCCTTACTACGTCCCCATTGTGCCACGAGCCTCTTCTCGTTCCTCCTCCGCAGGGAGCCAGACTTTGGACTTGCAGACAGGACGGGGGGAGGGGGGCATCTGCTCAGCCACGTTCCCCTCTCCTCTGCACGAGGCCAGCTGTGTAAACAGGTCGGTCTTCTCCACGGCTGGACGTCCCGCAGAAACCATACGCCCTTTTTTCTCCTTTGAACGGAAGGAGCGAAGAAGTAGCTCTGATGGCAGATGTGTGTTCCCAGCTGTTGCCCCCAGCTTCCCCGGTCTCTATGCTAAGCTAAAGCTAACCCGACTCCAGCTTCATGCATGACGCAAAAATCGTGTAGTTTGTCATTGGACCTGTTCTTTTACCGACATGAAAAGAAATTAGGAAAATTCATGTCTGTGGAAAAGTGTGTGTGTGTGTTTGTGTGTGTGTGAGACATGAAAACACCACAATACCAAAACCCTGCCGTCCTTCATGCTTCTCCACCCCCCCAAGTTCTTATTTTTCTACTGATAAAATATAGAAGACTTGAGAGGAAAGTGCAAAGTTTCCATAGTAAATATGAATATTATGGACAGCATTAAAGAAATGAGGTAATGATGGGTCACATCGGGTCTTTATTAACGCTCGACGATGCTGCACACGTGATCCGTCCCGCTTATCTCAGGCGTCCTCAGCGATCCTCAGAGGTCAGCTGGAGGACGAGGATTTTCTCACCGTGAAGACGTCGTCATCGCCGAGCTCCGCCTCGTTCTGCAGCGTCGACGACGACGTGGTGGAACCTGCGGGACACAGCTCGGTTTCAACGTCTCTCGTGCGTTTTCCTTCGGACTGTTTCGTACCCGAAAAGCCGAAAGCCTTCTTCTTCTTCTCCTCCGAGGACGCGCGTACCTTCGGTCAGGTCCTCCAGGGCCTTCCTCACGCCGCGGTCGAAGGCTCTGGCGTCGGCCGGGCTCTGGAAGGTCAGACCGCACCTCCTGTTGTCCACCTTCCAGTGGTGGAACGTGGGCGTGGCCTTCGTGTAGACCAGATCCTTCTTCAGGAAACACTCCAGGATCACCTGGGAACAAAAGCACGCGTAACGAACGTGCACTTTGTATAGTCTGGTGAATTCACCAATGTGTTATTATGCCAAAACCTGATGATAATGATAATTAACAAGGAACGTCAGTGACCGATGGGTTTTCCTTCACCCTCTCGCATGATGTTGTCTACATATATTTGTGTCGGTCATCGTCGGACCTGCTTGTCTTTGAGCCGCTCCCCGTGGATGAGGAAGACGTTGCGTCCCAGCAGTTCGCTGGGCAGCAGCCTGCAGACGCCCACTCGGCTCAGGCAGCCGTCCTGCGCCAACCAGCCGCCGCTCGAATCGTCTCTGGTCATCACCACCGCTTTGACGCGCACAATGTAGCTGTCACTGCACACACACACACACACACACACACACACAGCGGTTAACACGGCTTCAGTAGGAGGAGGAAGAGGATTTTAGAAGGTCTGTCAATAGTTTAAATAAAAGAATCAATCACTTTACAAAAGCATGTGTTTGGACACTGTTTTGACACACATTTAACGGCAGTATTTGAAGCGCCAACAATCTCCCCACACGTAGCAGGACGTCTTTTAGGGACACGGCGTCGGTCCTCTGCAGACTGCGTGCCGTGCAGTGTGACGTTAGATGTCGGAAGGAGCCTAGCAGCTAGCTTAGCGTTGCAGCTAGCTTAGCATTGCAGCTAGCTTAGCGTAGCAGCGCTTTACGTGGTCCGTTTGCCACTCACCCCCCCTTCTGGTTGACACGTGGAGTAATTCCTCTGCTCAGGTCTCTGCCGTGTGTCGCGTCTCGGTTTGTTTTACTTCCGATGCAAAACGTTCTCTCCACCTTGATGTAGCCGACTGCAGCTAGCGGACGTTTCATTTGCGACTAAATATTTTGTCGCATTAATCTCGGCCACATTGATCGCATAGATTAACGCCTTTATGTTGGCAGTTTTTAGCCCTAGATTTTAGTCACATGGAAGTCTTGCGTCCCAAGTCACAATTATGACATTTCGTTTTTCGACTCGTTTGCTCGTTTGCTCACCACCGCGTCGTTGTTTTGTGCGACTGTTACCGGCACCAGACCTCGGGGTAATCTGGACCGGCAAGCACAGGTGTAGCCTGTGGATTAATATGAAGAGAGGACGCACG